GGTTCTGATGCTTCCAAAGCTGCGGGTTCACTCTGAATCAAGTCAGGGATGACTCCTTCATGAGAACTTTCCTTAGGAAGGCCATTGACGGTCGCAGTATCAGGTTCGGCTTCATCGTCCGATGCTTGAGCGCTTGCAACAGAGTGGAATTCGTCTTTCTCAGCGGACGCCTGGTTGTGCGATTGAGGAGCCTCTTTCGACAGGAGACTGGACGAGGAGAAATTGTTAGGGTGGAGAGGAAGTTGGGCAAAGCCATTTACAGTTGAGTTATCAGGGTGGGACGCCACGGATCGTCTGCCGTCAGGAGAGGAGGAAGTGGAAGAAGTGGGAGAAGTAGGTGTCGACTGTGACATTGAAACTGGGTCCCGATGAGGATTTCGTGGTGGTAGAGCAGGAGGCAAGCGCTTGGGAATGGTGACCAGCCGGGCTCGGGTAAATGTGGGCGAATGACGTTTCAGCTCTGGAGGGGCGGTGGTGTCCTCAATGGACACAGGAGAAGACGGAGTGGTGCTCTCACGCTTGGAGACGGTAGCACTACTGACCTCGTGGACCTCGTAGTCATCGCCAACGGAGTCCTGATCACTGTCGTACTCTCGATGCCGGTTGAGATGGGCCGGCCGCTCCGGTATCACGGTATCCCAGCCGTCCTCCGCGTCCCAAGGACTGCGCTCGATATGATCCGCACGGGTACTCCTTGACGAGGCGCGGCTAATTGACGTAGGAGCAGTAGCAGGGGCCACGTCGGTCTGCGTCCCTCGATCCACACTGGCATGGCTTTGAACGCTCGCTCTCCAACTGCTGCGCGGGGAGCTATCCAAACTCCGTCGGAAGGTGGAATAGATGGGACTATGAGGACTGGGTTTGAATTCAAAGACATCTTGTGACGGTCGCGATCGGGTMCCGGCTTCGCGGATGAACAAGCCTTCGGCTTCCAGAGCCTTTACGCCGAATGGATCGGGGTCATCGGGATCAGGGACTCCGAACGGAGTCGCTGGCTGAACTTCAACATCGCCCGGCGTCTGCCCGGGGGAAGGAATCCAATTCTCCTCCACATCGGTGTCACCTTGTGCGGCCTTGATCGTCTGGATGAGGGTCTTGATGGACTTTGGTGGTCGCTTAACTTTGCCGGCCAGAATGTCGGTGACGGATATCCTTTCGCCATAGAATCGCTCATTTTCGTCTGTTCGTTCAATGATGATCGTCCCGTCCACCTGGACGCCAGCGTATAGGCCCCGGCTCTTCATATATGTCCAGATGGGTGCCCGTCGCTTGTGAACCTCCGACTCCAGAACACCTCCGACCCCAAAGGGACCCGCCGCGGCGCTGACCTCTCCTCCCAGAGTACACCGCACTTTCTTGAATGCCTCCAGCGCCTCGAAGGTGTTGATGACGACCACGCAATCATAAATGTCCACCCCGGCCAGGAAACCGATACCAGCGGTGTGCAGCATGATACCGGAGGGTGGACTCCATTCGCCTGTTTCGGGAATGCGAGCCAAAAGCACACCGCTTCCACCCGAACCGCTCAGCCATAAACCCGTTCGCATGGTCGTGAAGATGGCGAGGCCCACTGCACGCTGGATCACTGGCGCGGGAATCTTCTTGATCACTCGCTGCTTACCCTTGGGACGGTTGATCTTCCCATCGCTGTCCGTACCGTTCCGCTCTGAATCTTCTGTGGTATAGAACCCATCTTTGCAGAAGCTGCGCAGGATGCGAGCCGCTTTGTCGCTTTCTTTGTCGATAGTCATGGGCCAGAAGGCCTCCGCTCCAACGCGATTCGACAAACGATTCACTGGCGCCCCTAGCTTATCGACCGTATTCCATGCCTTGTCGAATCCCTTCTTGCCGCCCACCTTGGCCTTTTCCCACACGGAGGGGGCCATTGTGACGACTATTTGGGAGCCCTAGTGAGCCGAATTTACAGCCCTCGTACGTACAGGACCACGTCCCTCGACCGGAGAAGGCGCCAACTCTATATTTTCAGATCAGAAATCCCAAACCGTCGAATCGCGACGGGAACGGTAAATATGCGCCACGAGAATTGCCCGTAAATGACAATGGAATGTAAAAAGGCGGAGGAATTAGGTATAGTGTCGTATATTGCCGCAGCCGAGGTATGCTTGCCAGACAAGCTTTGGAATGCAGCTAAGGTTAAAACAAAGGTAGGAGACAAATTGAACTAAATGGTGAAATCAAGGGCGCTGAACTGTATTATGTATATGAATGCGCTGAGCTACATGAGAGAAGGAGAAATATCAGTCACTAGGTCACTCCGCGCTATCCGTGTTCAACGGCCGGAAGAGGGTGGCGATGTCGTCGCAAGATGAAGGTCGGAGGGAGAGAGAGGAAGAGTAACCATGGAACGGGAGAACAAGGGAAGAGACCCAAACTTACCTGCCCAATAACCCAGGAGCAACAGAAGAAAATAATAGGTAAATAATAAATAAAAGAAGGGACCAGAAACAATCCGACGGGATGGACGGAAGATGGGGATGAGGTTCAATAATATTTAGAGGGACGAGCAAGGTATGCAGGCGAAGGAGACAAGGGAGGTCCTGTAGGAACTTGATGCTCCTATCTATATCAGGCGAATAATGAAGATCTTCAAGGAATCAAGTAGAGGAATGAGAAGGGAGTATGGTCATATATCATTATAAGTGTTATTCGTCTCATTCATAATAGTCGTCAATATTTAAACTTGATAGTCCATATAAGTGCCTAAGTTAGAAAAACCAGGGACAGCCAAAGCGCGGCTGGATCGGAAAGCATAGTAGGAACCCAAAGTGGCGCCAAGGCTGGACCTGAGGGAAAAACAGAAGTAGCAGGCGATAGGAAGACGAAAAGAATGGGAATGGGAAGTGGAAATGGAAGTGCAAGTGATGGATGTCATCATCATCATCATCGACTTCACCTGGGCGTCATCATGGGACTAACCTAGTTGTTATCTGGACTAGTAGGAAGTTAACTTAAGTATATTGGTAAGGCTTAGCGATCGGCGACACCGGATGGATCACTAAAGAGGAGTATTTGTAAGTACTACCTCCGTACCTTGGCACTGTCTAGGTAGATAGATGCTGTACTCCGGAATAGGCTATCCATTTCTGTCTGATTATTGACCATGACAATGTGTTTGTCTGCAAGAACAACGACATTCATTCCCTTCCCTCCTTTCTACCACAGAAAACTTATCCTTGATCGAATGGAATCCATCGCCAACGACTACCTACATCAAGTTGAACACGCGATTCATGGTGTACCTGGAACTTGAACCACAAGTTGCCATAATCACCAATCATTTGGTCTAGATTCTCATACTTTCTAGCCAACTGATTCTCTTCTTTCCTTCCAACCATCGTTCTGCACCAAAGATAAACTCCAACTCTCTGAAATTACCCTCAATTGACAGAGTTTGACTATTCCGTTCCCCATTCGAACATGGCCAAAGGGCAATTTCTCCCTGCATTCCTGAGGCCCACTACTCCGTTAGGCACATATGACAGCTCCAATACCGCATCCCTTCAGCCCCAACCACTCTATTATCTGTTTACTCTATGTGGATATATACCAGACTATTCCATATTATCACCGAACAGATCATTTTAACCTTGTTGCGAATCAAATAAATGATTATGAATCCGTTTCGCATCTGATGCGCCACAGGACCAAGCTTCAATCAATCTATCCCTTGGTTTGATGACAGTCCGTGAACGCTAGACAGAAGCATACGCAGCAGATAGTTTGCCGTCTGTACAGTAGTCTGATCAATAGTTCGGTAATCCGAAGCTTTCTTGCCATTAAGCTGCGATAATTCATTCTTGTCTACGTCCCTAAGCTCAATGCGTCCGCTGTCAGAAGTCAACCATCAACCTGCACGATTATCGAGTCTCGTTGTCTTCCTCCACATTCTCTTGTGGAATTCGTTGATCGGTGTGTTTGACGGACCCTCAACAGTTGAGATACACTGGCACATTGGGATTTAAAAGCAAAAGACAGTTCGGAATCTTGTCAATTCTGTTCTCCGAGTATCTTCCACAAATGCTCAATATACGCCGTAGGCTAACCATATACGGCTTACACAGAGCATCATTCAATGGCAATCCCAACGACTAGATACAATAAGAAAGCAATAAATATTTCCCGGTATTAATCTCCTACTCCTGCAAGCCAGGATATTAAACCCTTCCATAATCCTAGTCTGGAATCTCAAATGTGATAGATGTGATGGATGACACACATTAGCTTCGTCCACTGATCGATAAACTAACTAGATCGTCCACTTTTTCGCGATCGCCGCAATATGGCGTGAATGTATCCATCTCGTCAGGGATCTACCTAGATTAGCGTACTCCATGTCTAAAGCCACTTCATATCCATAAATTATTTCCTGGATCATCAACTGAAAAGACTACTGTAAGACATAGGCCGCAATATGACTAGCAAAATCTTACGGAGTAAGTCCTCAAAACCCGATCTGGGATGGAGGACACGGACCGCAAGTAAGGTAATCGATCAGTCGACTCATGGTTCATGAGACGCCTCAACAAACTCATCTCGGCCGGCTCAAGACTCGACTCACGACTCACGAGACGTCTATCGTGATATATCACTTTCTAGCAGTACACATCAACAGTATGATAGTCTAAACTCTGAGCAGGTGACAGAGTCTCTGTGACCACGAGAAGACGAGAGTTGCCGTCTGCCGACTATGCTTAACACTACCGCACGCTAAGATGTTCGCATGATCGATGCGAACGGAGGATGCCCGGCGATCAAAATATACATGAGATCTATCACCTGGGTTGATGTGGCAATGAACTCAGTGCCGGACTTCAATTTCGGTTGTATTTTACAAGATAGCAGCTGAAGGTTTCCAAGTCATGGTATTGTTCTGTCAGAAGTAGATCTAGCTCTGGCTAGTCCCTGTAGTAAGTCTAATCATAAGAATATGCATACAGATCAAGCATACGTCTGGCTCATTTACACGATTGAAATCACAATCACAGCGCACCGAGCTCCTTCAGCTTGCCGATCAGACCGTCAACATCCTCCACCTTACCGCCGCCCTGGCGCGCAGGAGGTTCTGTCATAGTCAGCATCCGCTGTGCATTACATCGAGAAGAAAAAACTTACCAGTAACCTTGAGCGTCTTCAACCGCCGCTTATCCTCGACCCCGAAATCCTCAAGCTTCTTCTTCTCAAGCGGCTTCTTCTTCGCCTTCATGATGTTCGGCAGACTAGCATACCGAGGCTCATTCAACCGCAGATCCGTCGTAATAACCAGAGGCAACTGAGCACGCAGCGTCTCAACACCACCGTCCACCTCATGAGTCACCTCCACCGTCCCCTTATCATCCTTGATCTCGACCTTGCTCGCCTGCGTCGCTTGCGGCCACCCCAGCAGACCAGCCAGCATCTGGCCCGTCTGCCCCTGGTCACCGTCAATCGCCTGCTTCCCCAGAAGCACCAGGTTGATGTTCTCCTTCTTCACCACCGCCTGCAGCAACTTCGCCACGGTTAGCGGCTCAATGCCCCCGTCGTTGCTTTCGGGGACCTCGACGTGGAAGGCCCGGTCCGCGCCCATGGCCATGGCTGTCCGGAGCGTATCAACGCACTTGGCTCCGCCAGCGGAGAGCGCGAGGATGTTTTCGACTTTCAGGGGGCCTTTGCGCTCGCGGAGGCGGACGGCCTCCTCGATTGAGAGCTCATCGAAGGGGTTGAGGGAGTGCTTGACGCCGGCGGTTTCGACGCCGGTCTGGGTCTTGTTGATTCGGGGTTTGATCTTCGAATGTTTGTCAGTATCGCTTCAGCATTACGTCTGCTAATGAATAATTCTCGGCGTCATGGTATAGAGTCATTGATGTATTGTCTTCAGCTCCGGCCGTAGCCTCGGAGCTCTGACTCTTCACCGAGAACGGAGTATTCCAGAGAAAATGCAACTCACCGCGTAGTCGATCACCCTCTTCACGGGGACTAGAATCCGCAATCCGCTCATTGTGAATCTGAAAAGAAAACTACCACTCAATGGTGTGAAACAGAAGACCTGGTAATTGCGAAAGGAAAGTAGAATTGCAAGTCGGAATGAGACAGTCTCAAGGCAGTCTGGGGCCAATCGAGCGCAGGTGACTTAGGCGGAGAAGGGCGAAATAGTGCAGAAAATAATCCCATGGCCGATGCGGCCCGAGAAGTCCAACCGCAGCATCATCGCCCGCAGACCCCTCCGTCTCCAACCGAGGTTACTACGCCGGACTCTTGGACAATGGACACTGCTGGGGTCGAGAAATGGCTATTTGCGGAGGAGCCTTCGAACTGATTACTGGTGTTAATTAGAAAAACAATGATGATCTTGGTGTTGTTGATACCAGTGTCTTGTCTTTATGTGTTTCATTAATCTATGTATTTTGGGGGTGTATATGTTCAAGACCACCATATCACCAGTAGCATGTGACAACCATTGACACTACGCCTACCAGGCTACCAAGTCTCTTGCTTATACCGTCCGCTCTTCTCCATCCCTATCAAATACTCCTCAGCTCCGCGTCGGTCGAGCTGTTGTCCATAGGCTTGCCCACCATGTTCAAATGCTTCAATGAGCGCTTCTCTAACTGCCTGTGGCATTCTCCCCGATGAACCACAGATATAGACCGATCCATTCATGTCGTGTAGCAGCCTGAAGAACAGCCCAAAATTGCGTCGTACGATATCCTGTACATAAATCTTGTGTCGCTGATCTCGCGAAAACGCAGTGAAGACCTGCAAGTCGACCAAGTCACTCAGTTCTTGCCACTCATTCTCGAAGAAAAAGTCGGCGGCGCGATTACGGCCGCCGTAGAGAAGAATCGTAGGCCCGATCGGGGGCCTGGCCTCCGGATGCTCTTCTCGGTACGCTTTCACGAAAGCAGCTTTCTCCCAGAGCATTGAGCGCAATGGTGCGACGCCGGTACCAGGTCCAATAAGGACAGTCGGGCCAACCAATTGATTGACAGATGAGCTGAGTCCTCCGCGCTGCAGTTGTATTCTGAGAGTACTGCCTGGCCGCAGCACAGAGAGATATCTTGTACACACTCCTTCTCGGATCCGCTTGATCACCGTTTGATACTTTACAATGGCGATCAGCAACTCGAATTTCGCGCCCCCATCGGGTGTCGTCTTCAAGTCACCCCCGCTGGCAATACTGAATTGCCTCCCTCGAAAGGCAGGGAAGACCGCCGTCACATGCTCCCAGGGGATCTTGACTGAATGAAACTCATGCAAGACCTCCAGGATGCTTCGTCTGGGCCGTGAGGTGTAGTCCCAAAACTCATCCAAGTACTCGGGATTCGTAAACTCGAGAAGTCGTTCCTTGTGCATCTCGTTATCGGTGTAGTGCGCAATGGCCGAGAAGAACGTCCGCCGAGGAATGGCTCTGATGTCGATGTAGTCCATCAGGAGCGCTCGCAGCGTCAATTTGGGATACTTCTCGAGACCAGGGATGGGCGGAGCATGCAGCTCCCCTGCTGCTTGAAGCTTTTCGCCAGGAGCCAGCGATACCAACTTGTCAGCCATCTCTCCCCAGCCCATCATGTCAATCAGTGCTTGGACATCTTCATCAAAATTCTTCGGCGTGATGCAGACCATGTCCCCAGGAGCATAGGTGACCGCCTCGGAGACCGTAAGCGCTATGTGGCGCACATCTTGCCAATGGGTGCGTGGAGTGACCCGCCTGTTTTCAACAAGTGTTGCCGTCAGTGCATCTGGAATCGGTCTCACGTCACGGTCCAGCCGAGTCAACCCCGGATACTCGGCAGACTCTGTCTGTTCGCTCACTGAAGTCTGCACCGTAGGCTCTTCACTTGGTGTGACATGTTCTTGCAACCTCAAGATCCATTTAGGTGGCAGTTGCACGTCATCCGGTATCGGATGCAGCCCTTCAGGCAGCGGATACTTGTCCAGCAAGTGGCTACGAAAGTCCGTAATCCATGGAATGAATGTGCCTTCAAGTCTAGTGTCCAGTCAATCATTGTAGAGCAATCCAGACAAATTCAAAACTCACCCTTCTGGATGTTGCGCATTAGCCTCCCCACGGGGATATATCTCATTAGCCCCAAGTTGGAGTAGACGCTTGTGCAATTTCCGCGCAGCCCAATTAAACCTGATCGCGTCAGACACTGCCTTCATATCAACATCTACAAAGTCACTCACTTGGGATATGAGCTATCGCCCAATCCAAACGAAACATAATTGACCCCGCTCAAGAAAGTAGGCAGCAGCTTCTTCAGAAGCAACGATCTCCAAAACGACCGAGCATTCGCAGGAATTTCACCTTGGCCAGTCGTCGACACAACAAATATCGTAAAAGTAAACGACTTGAGCAACTCCTGCGCATAATGGTAAGCAAGGTACACCAGAAGCAAAGGAATAGCCTAAACACGCACAGCCTTTACAGAGTTCATTTCAGCGACATGAGTCACGAAATGTAGGCGCTCGGCCAGCGCTCCAAGCTCTTCGGCCACTTCTTGCGCGTTTCCTGTTTCCGAGCCATACAGGACAAGAGCCGTCCTCGTAGGGGGCTCCTGGGTCTGGCTCTCACTCATCCTGAGATACAATTGCTGCTTGCTGCGGGGCAGATTGTCGCCATATCTGCCCCTCTATCTATCTCTGCCGTTGGAGGCCTTAGGCCGATGATCGGAATGACATCATCTCGAGGTCCTTCTGGCCTGAGGCCGCAATTTCAGATACCTGCCAAATGTACTCCGCATGCTAGGTGCTCCAGCCCATGTAATAGAGACGTGATGTTTTGTTGATATTTTTTTTCGCTAACATATAGACGATGACTGTCTCGAAGCTACTTCGCTGCTGACTCAGTCTTTGAACCCTAGTTTGACTGATAACGCTTTGTGTCCTATGATAAAATTTCAAGCGCCTCCGATATGCTTGACCATGCGTTGCTCCCTAGACTGCTCCATAGAATATAGAAACTAAACAAGATGGGGTATCTCAACAATTGTGCCTTAGTAGGTGTCTTCATCTCCACCTCCGCCTCCGCCGTCTGCGAATCCGTCATCTCCGTATTCATCGTCGCCAGCATCAAAGTACTGTTCTGCATTGTAGTCCCCGCCCATTTCGTCTTCATCATCCTCAAAGTCGTTGTCGACGATCTCCTCTTCCTGATCCTCATCCGGGTCCAAGATATCCCCTTCTTCTTCCCGCTCTTCTCGCTCAGCATCCTCATCTTCGTCGACGCCCTTCCTCCGCTTGGTCTCCTCGACATCGTGTTCTTCTTCCTCATCCTCAAACCCCCTCTTCACTCCAAGGCGAGGCCCCTGTGGCACATATCCATCCATTGCAGCTGAGGGGTTGAAGTTCGGCTGGATCGTCTTCCACAGCTGGCGAGGGAAGAATTTCATGACTGCAGCCGGTCAATTAGCCACTGATCAGCGGTTACTCCCCCCATATATCCCGCAGGCAACACTTACCATACGGACGTCCTTTCAACTCCGGCCGGTCCCGCTTCTGCTTCTGGTACTTGCCCGAATACGTAGGCATTCCGTGGAAAGGGTCAAAGTGCGCTCGAGTAGCCTCATCTTTCCTTGCTGTGCCCGAGGTAGATTGGAGAACGGAGTAGTATGGACCGTCGTGGAAGCGATCCCGCAGAGCACGGTAGAGATCGACCTGTTTTTGTTCGCGAGGATTCAAAAGTCTCGCGCGGGGAATGTTATATCTCTACACGCCTGATGTGAGTAACCCTAGCCCTCCCAGACAATTATCGGAGAGTCGCTTCAACATACAGGGAAAAGAGGCGTAGGCGCTGTGTCTGCTTCCCCGCCAGGATCGGCCTCCCAGCTAAATTCTGCACCGGGGAGCTTCCTGCCTTTCTTTGCTCCAAATCGAGACATGTTGGCAGTACGGACGGCGGAACGAATAGAGGTCCAGAGCTTCTGGAGCAATCACCAATTACTCAGTCCGCCATTTACCAAAGAGCCCGTCCGAGTAAATAGATAGTGCCCGCCCGAAGACTCGATGTGGCTTCGAGTTGTGATGACAGCAAGGACGAAAAAAAGTTCCTGCGGAGATCCGCCTCACCGCCTTTGATGGACCTCTCCACTTTGAAAACCAGGGCATCGGAAATGAACCCTACAGATCGTGATGGATACTGAGGTTAAGAAGTACACTGTTTGCATATCTCTACGTTTGCCTTAATACAATATAGAAAGCATCATTAGTTCGTAATCTATCTTCACATTTTGAGCTCGATATCTGCATGGAGTTGCGGCGCTTTCAAGCAGATATTCTCACAACCCTATAGTCGCAACGCGAGCAGTATTTTGCACGAGCGGTCCCCAAGGACCTTCGCTGACTCGTTGCCTTAACGTCCGAACAATATCCTCGAAACCTGTTACTTGGTCGCCTGTCTCCTTCAAATGGTTATACAAGGCAACAAGGACCTCGTATTTCGCTGTCGCAACTTTCCACACAATGTTCTGAGTGTCTCCTGCTCCACCTGCAACAAACTCCGCATAGGAGCGCGGTGGCTTGAATAAATAAGGCAGCAGTATAGTCAATGCTGGCGGTGTGAGGACAGCCCAGACGCCTGAGGATGGAAGCAATCCTTGTGCAGCTGGAGATAAGGTGCCTAGCGCCTCTTCCGAAGGCAGCTGATACCGGGAAGAATCAGGGACGGGTGATATGACCTCTCCTGACAGCACTTGCCAGTTCGCTGTAATAACAGCCTTCATGAAAGATATAGCAGCTAAAGAAACATCCTTCATCGCCAAGATATCAGCTGCAGCTACGATATCCGTCCAGAAGGTCGGATGGTCATTCAGATACATGAAGTAGAGGACACGGGCCGCTGCGGCTTCTTTATGCCAGTCAGTGGGTGTCTGACCAGAAGTATTAAGCTCCATCGAATCGCTCAAGTCGAGTTTCCGTGGCCCGTGGAGTATTTTGGCCAGAGCGTCTAATGCCTCTCTGCAGGGGGGACTTGTTGGAACAGCCATAAGAGGATTCACGCCGTGCTTAGCGGCCTCGACAAGCAACACACGGGGTAAGGAGGCAAGGATAGCAAGTTGACCGGCGGGGCCTTGCCCATGCGCCCATTGAGCGGACGAGATGGCGAGCGACTCGGAGATCCGTGAGACGATCTTGTCCAGCAGGCTACTTGGATTCTGCAGCAAGTGATTTGGATATAGCTCCGCATACTGTGCAATATAAGCCATGATGGGGCCACGCGTGTATTGCAAATCCACGATATCCAATTGGGTCTCATCCAGGTATAACTCCAGTACGCTGCCATGCAGGCCATGAGAGATCAGGAAGTCAAGGGCCGGTGAGGAGAAAGTCGACGCAGACTGCACATAGACTCTAGCTCTCAAGCCTGGAGCTTCAATTTCAAGTAGGTCCCGGAAGAAGTTCAGCAAGGACATGTGCATCAAGAAATCCGTCTTATCGACCATCCGACAAGCTGCAAAATGCAGAATGCTAGAGGTGTCGTACTTAGCTTCAATCTCCGGAATCTGAGAACTTGAAATCAAGTCCCATCGTAGGTGGCCTGCCTTGACGATGAAACCCATAAGCCTTCCCTGGGAGACAGTCCTCTCCCGTTGCGGGCGGGCGCCCGGTTCATTGTCGGTGAGACTGCACAGGGAGAAGAGGCGCCCATAGACGTTTTTGTCAGTGAAGACTCGTCTCCAGAAGAGGCCTTGACCTCCCGTGCTGTCTGCAGCCTCATGGGTATGTGTTTCGCTTTCCAGCGGGCTGGCTAAATCAATTTCCAATAGAGCCCAGAGAGCGTCAAAAGCAGCCTGAGCGACGGCCGTCGAAGTAGTTGTAAGCCAGAGTTCGACAAGCGAGGCAACCAATTCAGGATCACCAGCAACTATCGCAGCATCACTGGGAATTCCTCCTGCCTTTCTCAGGAGAGTTAGAGCGAGCAGGTTGACAGGAGGCGATGGTGCTTTGAAACCCGCGATAAGGTCAATAGGAGGCTCAACGGAGCGGATATCCGTGAAGGAGAAGTAGGTTGTAGCTTTGATACCAAGAGTGGTGATCGGCGTGGGATCTTCCTGAAGGACCGGAAGAAGCTGCGAGATTAGTGTCAGAAGGGTGCCAGGAACCCTACGATCTGTGGTCTCCGTAAGCTCCAGCTTCAGCTTGTCGATGAGGGAAATGTCCAAAGGAGTCGAAGGATCAACCAGGACATCCTGCAGGTGAGCTTTGAGTTCGTCGTACGACGACGGAACAGCCATTTTGTCCGAAATAACAGAATGTCCTAACCGCTTGTCAAGCTGTTGGACACTTGAGAAAGATAAAGCTGGACTCCGTAGGAGGGTCCAGACAACAGCGGGGAAGCTCAACGGAATTGCAAACAGCGCAAACACCAACCGTAGCTCCATCAGCTTGGGCAGTTGGCTGTTACCACGCCCTTCAATGATGATGATATCAAGAGTGTCTTTCTAATTGTCCTGCTAATATCCTGCTTTACACAGCTTCGGAGTAATGGCTGAAACTACTGGCACTCTAGTCTCCCAGAAATCCTCCGATTCGGGGCTTCATATCCAGCTACACCCGCTGGTTCTCCTCACCATCTCAGATCACATCACCCGTCATGCCGCGCGATCACAACGAGGACCGATCATTGGAGCTCTTCTGGGACAGCAGAATGGCCGCGTGATTACATTAGAGCATGCATTTGAATGCATCGTAACTGAAGGAGCCAACGGCGAACTGCAGCTTCTCCACGATTGGTTCGTTGAACGAATCAAGCAATGTAAGAGCGGAGCTCAGTCTCAAGATTTCCATAAGTTCTAGCTGACTAGGCTTCATACAACAGTTAAGGATGTGCACAAGTCCCCCGCCCTCGACTTCGTAGGCTGGTGGTCGACAGCCTCGCCTTATGGCCCGGACGCATCCCATTTGCCGATCCATCGCCAGATCCTCCAGAGTTACAACGAGTCTGCCGTGTTCCTCGCGTTCCACCCATCGCAGGTGCAAGCTGCATCAAGGAATGGCGCCAAGCTTCCCCTGACTATCTACGAAAGCGTATACGAAGGTGAAAATGCGACAGAGAACAGCAAGGCGATGCAGATAGACGGCGAGGAGCAGTCGCTTTCGATTCGATTCCGCGAATTGCCGTTCTCCGTCGAAACGGGGGAAGCCGAGATGATTGGCATAGACACGGTTGCGAGAAGCGCAAGGACAGCAGCTCCTCTTCAACCATCTGGCTCGACCTTGGGTGCTCCCGCGCAACAGGACGCCCAGACTAGCCAGAAAACCGAAACTGGCCAGGCCGAGCCATCGCCCGACACTGTCATACTCTCCCACGAAGAGGAAGAACGTAAGATCATCATACTTTCATTTTCTTGAGCTTACCAGCTAATTCGGCCTTCATAGTAATCGCCAGTCTTAACACACGCCTCAATGCCATCCGAACGCTGGAGTCCCGAATTTCCTTGATCAAATCCTATCTCGCCAGTGTGTCCCAGTCATCCGAAGGCCAACTGACCGGAACCACAAAACCTCCTCTCTCGCACCCGATTCTCCGGAACATCAACGCCCTCTTATCACATCTATCTCTCCTCACGCCAGAACCAGGAAGTGCCTTTGAGGCGGAGAGCCTCGCCCAGCGAAACGACGTCCTCCTGGTCTCCTTGCTGGGACAGCTGGGTAATAGCATCAAGGGCATGCGCGAACTAGGCCGCAAGACCGCTATCATGAACAACATCAGGCAGAGCAATGCGTCGCGGAAGACTCAGCTGGCTATGCAGAGTCGGCTCGAAGATGAGTTGCTTTCGCGAGAGGGGATGACTCTTAAATAGTGTGGTCTTGCCAGTTTGGATGCACGTGACGACCTGCGCTTTCTTGATGACGGCTCGATCTTTTATGGTTTCATAGTGGCGTTTGGCGTTTCGCTCGTAGAAGCAAGCATTTTATAACGAGGGTTTAGATAGTGAATCAAAATATGAACTAGCAGAGCTCGACTACCACTCTCATTGCGAAGGAGACGATCCGTATAGTAATCGCATACGCACCGGCAAGCGTCCTGATATATCAACTGCTATTGTACAAAGAAATTCATCCAATGCAATCCCGCGTTTCATGAAAAGTGAATCATAGCAAAACAAAGGCGAGAGACTTACTGGTCCCAAGCGTCCCTACGTCATGCACAAAGTAAAGAAGGAGAAACGAAACCAGAGTAGAAGAAAACTGCCACACATCGAACACGACAGAAGGGTATATCAACAAAAAGAAAAGAAGGCAAAAGGGTGCCTCAGGAACAAGCCAGCTAGTTCGTGGCATGAATGAAGTGAAACGAAGGGCGGAACATCATCATTCCCGGGGTCGAGTAGGTAGAGGCGAACTGCAACTCAGGGTCATTACCGTTGACGTATCATCTATCGCCGGTTGTGCTCGTTGCCAAAGTGGGCAGGCGGGGGCTGGTACGGATCAGGCATAGGTATAGGTGGTTGCTCTTGCAGGTAATCCTGATCGTACGGATGATGACCCGTAGCTGCCTGCTGAGATTGGGGGAGATTGGTGCCTGTGTGTAGATGGAGGCCGTCGGTGTCTGGTACCTCGTAAGGGTTGTTGTGGTGTTGCTCAAACGGAGAATATGGTTGCGGAGAATGAGATGGTGTAGGTTCCAGCAAGGACGCGTCACTCAGCCGATCATGCTCATAATCATATGGTGGAGGCGCCAGGTCACCTGTCGACTGCAATGTCGGATTTGGCTGCGCATGTGAGAGAAGAACCTGGCCTTCATCGTCTGGAGACGTCCCATAGGGCGCCGGTCTGCCGCCAGCCATCGTAGCGCCTGCACCTTGGTAGGCTGTGACATTCGTCCTGGAGCCATTGCTGGTTGTATCGAGACCGATGACTTCGCTCTGGTTCTGGTAGC